TTAAATGAAATACCTCCTTGTACATACTGCCAGACAGGGTCACCTGTCACACAGCTCACAGCACTCACACCAGAGTCATGTCAGACTGACAATAGTCAGATGCATATCCTGCACTGCCTAGCAACCATCAGAGGAGTCACAAGTGCAGGGGAGAGCTGCAATTCTCACAAAATGCAGCTAATGAAATTATTGTCGTGATATATATTCAACGGCAGATTTATGCACAAATCTGATCTTTTTTCATTCTCAAATATAGATGTTAGAACTGAAATAATTAAAAAGAATATGGGGAAAATTAAGCTTGGTTTGTTACCCACATGTACAACAAACAGCAACATTTCTTTATGAATCAAAGAAATCCTTATACCACATTTCTCTGTAGCATATTCTTCCCCACAATGCTGATCATGCAAAAAGAGAGACATTGTGAGACATTGTCCCACAAATTCATCCCAGTGAAAGTGATCACATGCATGTTGTATGTAACCCACATCTGCACAGGGGACACATCTGTGTGACTAGCGGTATCCTGTGGCATGGATGTCTGCTTTGAGGGGTTCTGTGTTTTTTTTCTTGGGAGTAAAAAGGAAAGTGCACATGTTTCAGTTTCCTATTAGCATGGGAGTGTGCTGGATTGTGAATGGAGATTACACACATGGGTTAGATACCATGCATCCTAGTGCTCTCTATGCCTTTCTCCCCTTTCCATCTATGCTTCCCACAGAATTCAGTTTCAACAGTTTGGAGGGAGGTGTCTCATGAATCACAGATTTTGTAGAATGGGCTTTTCCATCAGTGACCTTTACAAGAGTAAAATTGCTTTTCTACAATACTCACCATCCCAGATGCTCACACCATCTCATGGAGCAAATAGGATTTCTAATCTCACCATGAAGTAAGTACAGCATCAAGTGTGTACTCCACATTTATCCCTCCTACACTACTCCTGTAGGATCTGACCAAATGGAAATGCAATGCCAAAGATCTGAGCATAATTATTAATCTAATAAAATATATAAATAATCAAGGAGTTCAGCTATTTAAAAGCACTTGTGCTTGAAAGAAATTGCAGCACAGATGGCACCAAACAAAGAGCTCACTCCTGCTCCAATTAGAAGCTAAACTCTGACTCACATAATTGCCAGCAGAGTCACTTCCAGGTATATTGACAGAAGAAGATCACTTTCAGCTCTTATAGATTTTTGAAGTGCTTGGTATAGCTAAGTCATGTACCTGACTTAAGCAGCTGAACTGGAAATGCTGACTGTCTTCTTGACATGAAAACAACTCTCCTGCATCTTCACTGAAGTGCACACAGAATTCAAGTCAGGCCATTTCGAGAAATCAAACGACCTTTTAGCAATTTCACATCTAAATGAGGCAGAACTTTTTAATGCAGAAAGACAGATAAGTCTTTATAATGTATTTGATCCACTGAAATATGTTTGGGCTTTAGTGGGCATTTGCATGTATTTGCTGGGACTGATAACACAAATTTCTTTCCATTTAAATAAACATTGCTACAAATATTTCAATAAATCTACTGTTCACATGCAGAAAAGGAAAGGCAGTGGGAAAAGCTGGAATTTTACCACTGCCATTAGAGAAAAAGGTACCAGGCAGTTTGCAGCAATCACAGTTCTTTGCTTATAAAGCGCAGAATTAAAGCATGGAGTATTATCTGTAACATCATGTCACACTTGCCAGGGTTAGTTACAGGCAAAGGCAGTTCCTAGAGCAGCAGATTGCTGAAGGGGGAGAGGGAACAGGAGGGGATGAGAATTGGCCTTGCTCTCACTGCCTACTTTGCCAATAACAAAGCCCTGAAAATCAGGTTGGCTCCTGCTGCTGCAGGAATTACAGAATATATGGGACTGTGGTGGGAACTGTTATTCCCAACAGCAGCAACAGCTCATGTTCACCTTCCCCCAGCAGCATCGAAGCAGCAAAGCTTTTCCCTCCAGCTCACCCTCTCAGCCCACTCCTTCCCCACTTGAGCAAAATTTCAGTTCTCTGAGCCAGACTTAATGGTTGCCATAAAGAAATACAAATGACAGTTTGAAAGGCATTTACTACAGTACAGCCCTAAATGAAAAAGCTAAACTTTTCAGTCTATGTTTTGCCTTTTTTAGTCTAGAAAAGATAAAGGACTTTGCAATGGCAAAATATAAAACTGTGCCATGCATCCTTGGCATAAAAGCGTATCGAATAACATCAAAATGTATGTTCACATGCAGAGGATTTTTAATATATCTTTTTTCCCCGTTGTTTAAAATACTCAGGCACAGCATGAGAAACTAATGTTGGACATGTAAGTCAGATATTGATAAAACACAGGAGAATATTTGTGGTTTATGATTATGATAAATAAGTTATTTTAAAGCTTGTGGGAAGTACTGGATTGACAGTCCTAGTAATATGTAGACCCAGTGAAGAGTTTTCCCTTAGTATTCCCAGGTGTACACTTCAACCCTGTCTGAAGTGAAGGGATTGTCTCTTAATGAACATGAGCAGGTTTCCACGGAGCATTTTGTCACATGAAATACTAAGAGTATTGCCAATGCCCTCAGTGTCAACAGTTCTGTGTCAAATACAAACAGCCATGGGCAACTACATGATGTACAGGTGCTTAAATCCTATGAATGTGTTATCACTTCTTATCTGAGCAGGATCTAAACCATCAGCCCAGCGAGGAAGTTATTTTATTGCAACAGCAGTAACTTTTAGTGCGGTTTTTACTACATCACACAGAAGGACAGTCTCTGCCCAGGAAATGCACACTCGGTGTAGAAGAAGAAAACCCAACAGATGGACACAGTAGTGTGACCACATTAGCCAGTGTAAAAAGCTCTGGGTACAGGAGATCAGCCTCCAAATAACAGTCACCTGCTCCCTGTCCCCCAGGTCACTCAGGTTCCTCCCTGACATACATGCTTATCTTTCAGTGGTTTTCTCATGAGACAGATGAGCCATTTCCAGTTTTGAAATGTGAAGTATTTGGAGGGACACTGTGTTACTTGTTAATGGTAAAGGGAGGGAAAGGAGATATTTCACATCATGATGGCAGATGAAGCTGTTGCTTTTAAGGATTTAACTGCTTTGCACTGAGACATCTCAGAGCCTCTTGATTCTACTGTTCATGCTGAGCTGCAACTCTTTTATCTCTAGCATCTCTGCTGTAAGCTCCAGGACACTGAAAATCAAAAAGCAAAGAAAAATATTAAGTCTTTTGACATACCTTGATTTGCAGTCTTAAAGACTAAGCAGAATATTTAAACATTTAGTTTGCATAACTAGTATCTATACCTTAAGTTCACAAGTGCTCTTGTTAAATTTTAGCCTGTCAAAATGGTAAAATCCCACAAAAGTTAATGGCAACATTCCTTTAACTGAGGATTATCAAAGTGGTTGTGGAATAAAATCTTATAAGAAGACTGGAACAGGCAAAACACAGAGTAATACCAACAACATGTTCCAAATAACAATGCAGCAATGGATTAATGTTACATGTAATTGTAAATACACTTTTGTTATGTTTGGCTTTAGAATAAAGATAAGATAAAGTGCTTTCCCCTTGATTAGATTCAGAGATAGTCTAGCAGAGATACAAGACACCTTTGTGATATAGAAAAATCATCCAGACATTGTTATCTCTGTATTCAAAGCAGGAAGAGGGTCCCACAGTCCTTCTTCACTGTTCTAGGTGAATGATGCTGCAGTTATAAAGTTACTTCTCATTGGAAATATAACTTACCTCCAGCCTAACTATCATGGGCTCAGAAAGGCAGGCACAGTGTAAACACAGCACACAGCCAGATGCCAAAGCTGCTCAAACAAGGAGCACCTGGAAAGCAGAAACAATTATGTCTTAGTGTCACACTATAATTCAGGTCTAGGACAGACTTATCTGCACCACCCCAAAGAGGTGCAACAAATTCCAACATTTGAATCCTGATTACGTTTAGCAGCTCAAAAGACGTCACTGGTCACAGCAGCCACTTCCAGTTTAACACACACAGCTCCAAAGAGAAGCATGTTACAGGGGTGGTACTCACTAGAGACAGGAACAATGAACAAGAAGCTCAAGAACTCAGGTGATCTTTACCCAGAAAGCTCCTCCCTTTGGCATAGGTACAGAGGGAACAGGTTACACATGGAACGGAGCTGGGCTGAGAGCACCTCGCAGGTGCTGCTTCTGTTCTACGCCCAGCAAAGGCATCATAGCAATTTAGTTCCCCTTACTCCTATTTTAGCACTTCAATTTCCCTTCTCTCTTCTTCAACAGCTTATGTCTTGCTGGTGTCACTGGAAGCAACAATATTTGCTGTCTGATCAGGATAAGTTCTCAATGTTGGCTTGACTATGTGCACACTCATAGTAACACATCCACTAACTCTGCCAGTATAACCCACCCAGTATAAACTGCAATATGGAGAAGTAGAAGGTTAAACCACTGAAGCATAGGTACTAATAGGCTTTAATTCCAAATAGGATGTGAACAACAGGAAAAACTGTTCAATGGGTCATACAGTCTCAATAAAGATGTTAATCCACCCCAGTGCTCCTTTCCCACTTGTAGCTCTTCAAACAACATTCTGCTGCAGTTAAAGGTTGTGACCTGAAGGCCCAAAGGTGCAGAGCCCTGCCTTAAGTTTAGGCAAAGAATATGGGAAAGAAGGAAAGGGAAAAGCTTTCTGTTTCAAACTACATTTTACACAAGTCAGTGCTTAGCATAGTGTACTGCTACTAGCAGCCAATAGCTGCTGCTGCCATCTGACAGTCTTCCTCCATTATCTCTTGCTCTGGATAAATCCAACATCATCCTTGCTGTTTGTCTGGGTCAGGCATGTGATTTGAGGCATGACTGAAAAAGCTGATTACTAAATTCACTGTAACCCACCTTCAGCATACAGGTCTGATCCTGGTGGATGCTGGGAGAGCTCACACCCCACTGGAGTGTGTCCTTCCCCTAAGCAGGAGGAGGGAGTGACTGTACTCACTGCTTGGAGCCAGGGTTTGCACTGCCTGGGTAGTGCCTGCACTGCTCTGTGTCTCCGGGCTGCTGCTCCTGGCTCCATCCAGTGCCAGCCCAAGGCTCTGGAGCTGTGATGCATCCAGGTGCTCCTGCTGCAACCTGGTAACCACAGCAGCATTTTCAGGGCCCAGGTTTGCTATTTGTTCTGGGGACAATGCCTAGGAGGAATGAAAGACAGAAAAATTGGTTTAGGCTGTCACTTATATAAGGCAGGTAAGGAATCAGAAGTCAGCACTGTCTTGCATCAGGAATGGGGGAAAGTAGCCTTCAATATTGTGTGGTTATAATGGAGCTCAATAGAGCTTAAAAAAATCCTCTGTATTCATTTGCTTCCCTGACCACACTCATCTATCTTTCACCTTTCTCTTTGATGCTGGGAGCTGACAGCTTGAGAAGCTCTCTATGCCAGCACTGTATTGGACACTTCTTCAATATATTGCTGGAGTTTAATTTTCCAGCCATTTCTTTTTTGATTTGTTCAAAGACTGATTTGTTCAAAGATGGCATTGTTCATCCTCTTCTGTTTTAATTTATTTCCTCTTGCATCTGCTCCTGAGCAACCTCATTTGAACCTACATTTGACCTTTGATAATGGTTAGTAGTAGATGAAAAAAAACCCATACTTTAATCTCATTCTTCAATTTTCTCTTTTAGGCTGAAAATCTTCCCATTTTGGTCATATTAAATTTAAAAATTAAATATGGCAATCATAATCTTACAGTAATTATATCACATAGCAATTAGCTAGTTTGTAAAGCCTACATTATTGGGTATGCTGGATTGCTTTGACTCTAGTGAACATTCTCCAGTCACAAGCATTTTAACCCTCCTACACAACAAACCTTCTTTCCTACCTTCTTTCTTTCTGTATCCAGGTCCTACTTGGGAAAGATGAAATTCCCCTTCTAAGTAGGTCAGATGTTGGAGCAAACCCTTGCCCATTTTTCATTCTCTGTCACATGGTGAGTTTGCTCTTGTAAACTGAGCAAACTCATGTAAGTGCCTACAGGTCCAGGCATTCTGACTGAGCTTCTTAATTCACTTAAAGTCCATAACACAGTGGAATTTTTCACACATCAAAATCTGAATAATGTATACAGCTGCAAAATGAAGCTATACAAAGCCTGTGTAAAACCAAAATCTGCTTTGAATCTTACAAATTCAGAAAACTTTTCCAAGAAGGTGCTCTGTTATTTGTTAGGCACTTTCTGTAGCATCATTACTATTCCTACTAATAAAAATGTCTGTTACTTGAGAGAAATTCTACAAGATGCTATAGATCTTTTGTTTTATCTGTTTTTTTTCAAAGAAATAGTTTCACTAAGGACATTTCAGGCTTATCTGAACTGTCAGTGGTACTGTGCAGAGCAGTGAGTGTTCAAGGAGTTTTTCTCTTTTATGGGAGCTGACACAGTTAACTATCTGTTTAGCTCATCTGCCCACAAGTACATTGCTTGCCTGAGCATCTGAAAGAGATGCCTAAGCAGAATATTAATCTTGTCACTACGTCAAATAAAGTCTGGGGCAATGATCTCAAGATCCATGGTCTAATTTCTGGTCCACGTTCAGAACTGCTGTAATTAGATGTAATTCCTTCCCGATCTGTATCTGTCTGTACAATCTGTTTTTCAGAGCTAACTCAGGAGAATGTTGCCAGATTTTAGGTTAATGAAACAGCTCTTACACAGTCAGCAGAGAAATCTGTAGCTATTATAGCATCATTGCAAATGTTGTATTAGTTATTAAATTTATAAAGACATTATTAAATGTTATATTATATATATTGTAGCATCCTTACAAAAACAGAAGAAAACTCAGACCTGAATGCAATGATGGCAGAGAGTGCATTCCCTGCTGTCACACCCTAGACCTTTGTCTTTCCTTTGGGATGCATTCTGAAGAATAAATAAAGCTTGTCTAGCATATTTCATTACAGATAGAGAGGATTTAGCTGAAAGTTAATGCTTCAGATCCTTGACAGTCTCTCACTTAACAGACCACAGAAAAATTTTTGCCAAAACCCAAAATCAATAAATCAGTGCTGCAGTTAATTTGTACTAGAGTAAAAATGATAGAAATTTAGTTACTTTTTCATAATCAGGCCCTTACTTGAAAAACTTCAGGAGGGATATGTCTCACTGCTGATGGCTGGAAATACGGCATCAAGTTTTTATCAAAAGCTTTTAATTCATCCTCATTCAAACCACCTAAAAACCCCAAACAACAGCAACAACATACAGTTAATACTCTTTTTATTAGATTTATTTTTAGGCTAATACAAATTTTAAGCATTTATACAAAGTATCTAAGAAATGGTTTATTCCAGTGTATTATTGAGAGAGACACTGGGTCTGGTTTTGGTTTGTTTCTTTCGTTACATTCCAACATTACAAATCATCTGACCTTAACCACTGGGATGGAATATATGCTACCTGAGTTATTTTACCTTGGAAAAGAGGGAATGAGAAAAATCAATAAAATCATAAGCAGTATAATTAGGGAATGACCAGATTTAGAGAACCTTATGGAGAATACCATGATTTTTCCTTAGTGCTAATGAAGTAGCTGGATGTCCATCCCTGCAGGTGACTGCTCTCTGGAAGAAATGCATTTGCCAGTCTAGAAAAATTCACTGCTACATGAACCTGCCTCTTAATGCTTCATAACAGTCCTTTACAACCATCACCATCTGGAGTTTGAATTTTGTTACCTGCTATAGTACCAATTTCCTGTAAAACAGAGCCATTCCAGCTGGTAGCAGCACCAAACACAGACTCTGCCATCTTCTTAAACTGCCTCAGAACAGGAGTGCTACAAAACAACAGGCCAATTCTTGCAACAGCAGCACTGCAAAAGGCAACAAGGTCAACGTTACATGCTGCAGTTACAAGCAGTACTGAATATGCCTGGAATATTCCTAGTCTGCTGGAAGAAAACTGTTTAACCCATTTTCAGTTTAAAATACATATGCATAAATTGCATAGCAATGTTTAAAGCTTTGAGCAAAAGATTTCTCCAAGCAATATTTAAATGGTGGGATATAAATGACAGAGGAAACCTAAACCAGAACATGTTTAAACAACTAGTGTATGCCTTCCATAACAGTTACTGCCTTTCTAAAAGCATTTAAAATGTAAGAAGGTGTCCTTTAGGCTCTGAAATCCTTGACGGGGAAAAATGGCATAATAAATTTTATCAATAGAGATACTAATAAATATTTCATTAAATATAAAATGCAGTACCTGAATTCAGCAGTTCTTATGGACATGATTTCAGTGGAGTTCAAAGCACAGAGAATAGCTCCTAATCCAACTAAATCAAAGCTTTTTAGTGTGCTGATGGTCTGGCCAGAGTCTTCTAGAAAACCTTGCAAAATAGATCTTGCCTACAAGAGCAGTAAGACAGTATGCATGAACAGAGTAAATATAATTGAAGGCTTTGTTACTAGAAGCTTAAAATCTTACCAGAAGCTATGGAGCATATACACCTCCTGAGCCTCCCCAATGTATGGCCATGGCCTTCAGGAGGAGCACTGCCACCACCTATATGTGACACTTAGGGCACTGCTACACAACCTCTTCCCAAATGTAAATGGTGTGAAAGCAATCTGCACCTCTTCTGCCAGGTCACAAGGAAACTCTTCTCCAGAAGAAAAAGGTGTTGCATTACCTAGCAGAACTGCCCAAATCAGCTACATCGCTCAAAGAAAACATAAAATACCTAAGGGTGTCAATATGGACTTTTTATTCTCTTTCAATACTCAGGTTGTTCTGTCTTGTCTTACTTAAGTGTCATATATAGGTGGTGACCTGTGTTTAGGATTAATTTTCAGACATGAATGGGATATTGGTACCAAAGTGTCTTTGCAAGCCAAAGTAATTTAGGACAGTGCTCATCCTAAACTAACCATTTCAAAGCTGTGAGTCTAGCCTAAGGCTGTACCAAGGCATCCTCCAAAGTCAGTGAAAGAAACAAGCATCTTCCAAGATTTCCCAACCTATCTACAATCCTGAGCCTCAAATGGCTAGCTTAAAGTAGCTGCCTAATTTTTACACAACTGAAGTGCAGCAGGATGAATCTCTTTAAACTAGCCATTCTCACTGACAGTAGGAAACCTCAAAAGCAACTAGTTTTGTATAAAATCCTCCCAAGTGCTTCTTTCTCATGGTGCTCTCCAGAACAAGAATCTATTAAACAGATTTGTGACACTCTGCCAAAACTGCCACCATGCCAGCATCTGTGCAACCACAGAGCCCTGATGGTATGGGCCACAAAGTCAGAAATATGCTGCTAATTGCATATACAAGTAAGTTTTTAACTCTTACTAGGAAAGTCTCATTGACATAACTAGAAGTTATTCAAGGAATGGAAGATGAGAAGAGCATATTGGCTAATAACAGGTTCCTAGGACAATGGAACGGGGGGCAAACTACCTCTCCAGTGATTACTCTCAGGCAGGAAGGGTTGTTATCTCCTAGCAGTAGTGTCTATTCCAGGGGCAGTGTGAGAGGAGCTGCTTACATCTTCCTACCGTTTAGTGGGCAAGTGCTAAAGAATATGCTCTTGATGTCCTCTTGGTCACCTCACCAAGGAAACAGCAGCCAGACAGACACCAGTGCTGACCTACCTGCACACTGGGGTTACAGCTACAAAAAAACAGCAGTGTGGATCTCTGGATCTGTTTCCTAGATGATTCCAGGACTTCACTCCCAAAGGGCATGAATCCAGAACCTTTCACCAGGAGTATATTCAATAACATACTTACCTGGGTAAGAGTCCACTCTGTTTGCTGACTAAGGACAGAAACAGTGTCGACTGAATGCAAATCCAACTCTCTGATTTCATGTTCAGTGAGTGCCAGAGCAATGCGACCCAGGGAAACAACATGATAACTCTTCCAGTCTGGCAGAGATCCCCAAACCTTTAGAAGAGATACATTAATGACTGTTAGCTCAGTATGAGTTTTATGTGCACCATTCTCAACCCCCTTGGTTAAAAAGTCCCAATACCTCAAGTATTCCTCATTGCACACAAAAGGCAGAGCTTAGGTATTGTGAAGGTTTTTGAGGTTCTACACCAACAATGGTTAGTTTATCTACAAATGCTGCAATTTTTACGGCTTGGGCTTGTTGATAAGTCAGAATAGGGACTGGAAGTGTGGCTGTAGGAGCAAGTACCACTAAAAACAATAAAATGTGAATTGGTGCCTAGATCCACACTGTGACACTGCTACCATGAAAGCAGCACCTGGACTACCCAGGCTTCTACCCAGCCTGAGTCGCTCTGGGCATCTGAATTTAGATTGCTTTTGTGACCAGCCACCCTGGCTCAGTCACTGACAAAGTAGAGAACTGGGTCATAGGGACAAATAGCCAGTTCCTAAGGTTCTGTTTTCTAGTTTGTGCTCATAAAGTATTGAAATAAAAAATAATTTAAATGTGTGTTTATGAATACAGTTCAATTTGCAAAGCTTTGTCAAAACCCAAAGAAATAAGCAGCAATGTATTTAAACTGACAAGTTCCACTGCTTTAAACTTCATCTGTGATAAAGTTATACCGATTGAAAAGCTGTCACAGATCAGCCCTAAGGGAATTTTGATTTCAGGAAAAGGGCTGCCTGAATAAAGAATAATAAAAGTCCATCAAGAGCTGAATTTTCAGAGGCCAAAACTGACAATTACATTTAGTTGGCAACGACAGAAGACAGTAGAGTCAGTGGTCAGTATCTATCTGTATGTGGCCAGTTGCCTTTAGAGAAAGAAAAGCCACTGAGTTTTGGCTGGAGTGACTTGAACAAGACAGGCATACATTAAAAAGAAGAAAATCTCACTTTAAAGATCTCATGGACTTCAGTAATTCTGCTTTATGTCAGCCAATACATGTTTTCTAGTACAGTGCTGTAACATTACTTAGCCCAGTGCTGGGCTAAGTTGATCATTCATGCTGTCTGATCCATGGAAATATTTACTCCTTTTGGGGATAGCTACAATTTAAGTTTTGTTCAAAACATTAGAAAGGACAAAGCTAGTATGGACTTGCTGAAGGAGCATCTCTGGAGTTGCCTGCTAAGTAGTGTTCACACCTTCAGAAACCTCCGTAAGATACAGAAACAGGGGCCTGGAATCTAGATCTCTGGAATTACATACTCCTTTCACAGAGTTGCAGATCCAACACAGAGCAGTCTCAGGGCTGCCAAGGTGCTTTTCCCAACTGTGACCCTCAGGTTAAGGATTTGTTTAAGAGATGTGTTGCTGGACCTGTACCTCCTGCCTGAGTTTCCACCAGATCTTTTATGTTGGTTTTACGATGTCATAAAGAAACAGAAAAAGGATCTAAGCCTGGGAAATTTCCATCTTTTCCAAAGAAAATAGACAGCAAAAAGCATTAGCCCAAATTTAAAGCTCTTAATTCTTTAGCTGAAGAGATACATGAAACACATGCAGGCAAAAATGTCATGTGTCTATTTCCCAATCTAGGCCATAAACTACAGAATTTGAAGTACTTCATAAATAGTATTATCTGACAGTGCTGGGTGAAATCTCAGGCATAACGATATAAATAACACAACACATGAAACACTCCTTTGTCCTCGTTCACCTAGGGACTACAGATCCATACATCTGTCACTACTGCAGAGCTGGGAGACCTTCCACTTGCCAGTGAGCTAAGCTTCTTACTTTCATTAAGAGACAATCTGATAACTAGACTTTCTGAATTAGTTTGGAACAATAAGTAGTATGCAGTTTCTTTTAGGGGGAATCAATCAATTTAGGAGAAATTAAAGCAGGCTTAATGAAACCTTTAATCAAAGATGCCCTTTAGTTAATAATATAACCACATCTTATGCACATAATTTCAAAGAGTTTTGCCTGTACTGTTGGACTTCTCATGCTTCATGTTCAGTGTGACACCATGTTGCATTTTGCAAGTTAATATACAGGAAGTCTGTCTTTGTCTAGCAGCAATCTAACACACACAGAATATTCAGTGCACTACAGATCTGTGTATCTTTGAATCCAATAGAGCCAGAA